CGCCAGCATGGTGCATGGTCTCACATTTTTCGGATTCAAATTATAACACAATAAAACCACAATATTTTCAGGTGTCGACTTCCTAGAAATGAAAATTTGAGATGCATTTGGATCAGGCGGGCGGGATGTGAGGATTTAGTGGCAAAATTGAAATTTCGCAGTGTATTTATGTGCTCTAGACATTTCCACGATGTGTGTTTCAAGGCAAACGGTAGATTATTACTAAATTGTCTTCCAACAAAATACCTCCCAGGTATGTTTAAATAAGACTAGCCTATGTCTTGTTTTAAAGATTACTACATAAATTATTCACCTTACATACTACATATATTTCGAAGGTTTCCAAGGTGCACCTTCCATAGAGAATAGCTTCTATCGAGAGAGTATACCATCTGCTAGGGGATGTGTAACTCTCGAGAAAAAATTAAGCCAGCCGAGGTATATCCTGGCAAAAGATGCTTGGTGCAACCAATAGCCGAACTGGGCGATATTCCTGGACCATCGCATGAATATGTTCATGTCACATCAAATATCGCCACAGTTCCGGGTAAGTACTAATTTTAAGAAAGTGAGATATACATTTAGCAACCTATCAATTTTTAGGCTCCAAAGACACTCTTTCCAGGGAGAGCAGCTCAAATAACTCAGCTCGAATGGCACCTGAATTATGTACACCGAAAAAATTTAAAGGTTTGTTTGTACTAAAATGAAAGTACTTTAATAATTTGTATTTATGTGCATAGATGATATTCTTCCCGGGGACAGCCCTTTTACAGCTGTCACCAGTTCGATTGCTTCAATGTAGTAACATATTTTTTCTTTTTAGGTGTAAGGATACTGAATTTGAAAGCAGTGGGAATTACACAGCAGAAGCATTTGTCGCCTCGCAACAAAATTTTGTATGAGGGCGTAAACAAATTGAACAAATTGGTACATCGCCAAGAGGTGAGAAATAAAAAGATAAAAGCTGACCTTAAAAATTCGCAGTCCGCCCTTTTGCAAAATTTTAAAAATGTGAATGAGTACACAAGAAACTTTATTTTGTCCCAAAATAAAAATCAAAAGTTGAAACTGCGCGGTAGAAGGTTTTCACTTGAGGTAAAATTTTTGTTTTGTCAATATTCCAGCAAAGCGGGTTACCGATTCTTGTCTACAATTTTTACCTTCTCGTAAAACGCTTGTAAAGGTTCTACAACATACACTTTTTCATACTGGAATTAATAACCATATGTCCCAGCATTTAAAGGTACAAGTGAGTACGTAACATGTATCTATATTGGTAATTGTACTAAATTAATGAAGTTGTGATACATACTGAATTTTTGATACATAACATGATTTTGCTTGAGCAAATGTTTCTGGTTTCTATAAGAAACACCTTTCATAAATTAATGGTACTTGGCGTTTCGCCTATTTATTTACTGCAATAAAAATTTGTAAATGCTTATGGAGTTTTTATTATCAACATATATGGCTACACC